TAGTGCTGCTATAACAGAAATACCATAAGTGGATGGCTTTAGCAAAGAGAAGTTTATTCTCTCACAGTCTAGGAGGCTAGAAGTCCGAATTCAGGGTGCCAGCTCCAGGGTAAGGCTTTCTGTGTCAGCTCTGGGGGAAAGGTTGTTGTCATCAGTCTTCCCCTGGTCTAAGAGCTTCTCAGCACAAGGACCCCGGGTCCAAAGGATGAGTGCGGTCCTGGCTCTGCTTTCTTGGTGGTAGGAGGTCCCTCTCCTCTCTGCTCGCTTCTCTCTTTTATATGTCAAAAGAGATGGACTCAATACAACCTAATCCTGTAGATTGAGTCCTGCCTCATTAACATAACTGCCTCTAATCCTGCCTCATTAACATCATAGAGGTAGAACTTACAACACACAGGAAAATCACATCAGATCACAAAATGGTGGACAGCCACACAATACTCGGAATCATGGCCTAGTCAAGTTGACACACATTTTGGGGGGACACAGTTCAATCCATCACACCATGAACTTTTTCTCTGCTCCCATGGCTTCCTGTAAATGTGACTCATATGCGTGACTCTGAGTAGCTTCTGAACCAAACCAGGTCCAAAGAGGGCTGTGTCACCAGGTCTGCATGTCCAGTTGACACACCAGTAATGGCAAACCAGGAGACATAGCTTAAATACTTTACAGGATGCCTCTCAACTTCAGAAATAACGTTGTTGCTGGGATTTCTGAGATCCATGACCTGTCTTGCTATCCCTTTGCCCATCTTCGCTTCCTCCCGAGTGGCATCTACCTCAGGTCAGCTACCGCTGACAGCGTTTACATGCACTTCTGAGGCTGCTGATTATACCTGTCTCCTACTTTCACTGGAAATGGAGTTTCTGGGTTGTTTTGTGGTGGTTTTTCAAGACTTCCTGGATGATGAGGAGGAGAAGATGAAGGAGAAAACACTGACTTTTGTTCATATTGGAGTCCTGCCTCACCACATCACAGACCAATTAAATTAGAATCTCCGCTGGGGTGGCACCCAGGTTGAGTAATTGCTAATCTCTTCAGGTGATCCTAGCGTGTAGCCAAGGTTGAGAAACTCCTCACCGCTAAGTGAGGGAGTTGCAGAATTACCTGGCAATAGGAAGAATGGGCTGATCAAGTGTATTATTATAAAGCTCACCAGGTGATTTTGTTGCTGTGCCTGCCCCTACTCCCACACCCCAAACATGAGAACTGCTCTTCCTTAGCATGATTTTTAATAGCAATTATATTTTGAACAGCTGTTCACTATAAGTTGACATAAGATGGCCAGAACCCACGGTGATGGTTAAGGTTGTGTCAGCTTGACTGGGCCATGGTTCTCAGTGGTTTGACAGTTGTATAATGATGTGATCACCTCCGTGATGAGATTTGATATAATGTGATCAGCTCCATGACGGGATCTGCCATGAGTAGCCAGTCAGTTGAAACAGAGTTTCTTTGGGCGTGTGGCCTGCGTTGATTATAAGTGGACATTCTAGCAAGGCTTGTGGGCTTTTGCTCACTCTGGATCCTGCAGTTGGCTCCGTTGTCTGACTTCCGGTTCTTGGGACTTGAGCTAGCAGCTTACTTGTGGTCTTGCCTGCCGATCTTGGGATTTATAGATTTTCGCAGCCTGTGAGCAAGAGCCCTGCTCTCTGCCCTGCTGATCTTAGGTTTGCCAGCCCCTGCGGCTACATGAATAGGAGAAGCCTCTTTCCTGACCCACAGTCTTGGAAAGTTCCAGCCTCTACAACCGCGTGAGCCATTTCTTTGATATAGATCTCTCTGTATGTATATTTATACGCTTTGCTGGTTTTGCTTCTCTAGAGAACGCAGCCTAAGACACTAAGGTAGCTTCGAATAGATCACTGTTAAAAGAAAGATAGGCTAGTTTGAGAAATAGAACAGTGATGTTACAATACTTAGGAGAAGTGTGTGTGTGTGTATGTGTCTGCCTGTCTGTCTTTTATTCTACCCGTGAGAGTTTGTGGGTGTGGTTTGTTTGTTTTGAGTTTGTGTTTTTCAGTAATGTATTTACTTACTTTCTATACCGATTGTGTTGCGTAGAATCCTGCTTCTTAATTATCTGCCCGTGAGGAAAGTCTAAAAGCTGTGCCCAAGCTTCCATACTCAGGCAGCTTTCCTTTCTGATTCCCTGTAATTCTACATGCAGAGGATGCTGCCTTAACGCCTATAAAGAAAATAAAGACGTTCAGTCCTTCACTGTCATCTGAGTAAAGCAGACGTATCGAGAAGTTGCAGCAAAAGGATTTAAAATGTTGTATTTCAGATTTTACAGCGTAACTGAAGATTTCATGTTTAAACATTTATTGCAAAGTGGAAAATATGTATAAAGTTCCAGTCTTCAGAGAGTTCTAGTTTAAAGGAAGACGGACCATTTTTTGAAAATAGTAAAGTTTAGACTGTACTAAAATTCTGCCCCAAGAGTATAAAAATGCTATTTAAATTCTGAGGAGAGAAAAGGTCAACAACATTCTGTGAAGTCTAGAACATTCTATGAAGTCTAGAACATTCTGTGAAGTCTTTAGAGTTATCAGTGGATCTCACAAAACAGCTGCCTCTTCCCCTCAGTCAGTGACTGCTAGCAGGGGCTGCAACTCCAGATCTACCTGAAAACCCAGGAGCTCAGCCAAGCAGGCAGGTATTACTCCCAGGTTTCTGAGGTAGCACACAAGTCTGTAGTGACCAGGCCCAGTGGAAGGACTTGAACCTGATTTTATTCTATGGCCACATAATGAGCAATAATGAAAGTACCATGATTAAAACCAAGTATTTGTGAGATGTCAGGCCTAATCTTTTTTGCCAGGTGTCAGATTCATACCCTTATTCCTTATTTTGAACCCTGGTGGTGCAGTGGTTAAGAGCATGGCTGCTAACCAAAAGGTCGGCAGTTTGAACCTACCAGCTGCTCCTCGGAAATCCCTATGGAGCAGTTCTGCTCTGTCCTGTGGGGTCGCTGTGAGTTGGAATCGACTCGTTAGCAATGGTTTTTTTTTTATTCCTGATTTTATGCCTTTAATCATTTTCAATATACTTACAAAATAGTTTCTGCTTGATGAATTATATTATTTGAAGTTCCAGAGGTCTGATACTGCTGTTTGTAATTTTGCTGACGTTTACTCATGGTGCGTTACTTCATCACGTGCTTTACAATTGTTCGTTTTGAGCTCATCTTCAGTGGGACTTGACCAGCAGGACTTACTTTGCTTGTGTTGAGGACTGTCTCTGGAGAGATTTTGGATTTGCTTCTTTTATGTCCCAGGAGTATCCTGTTTCACTTTTTATATTAACTTCTTGACGTCATTGTTCCCATCCCACTGGAATAGTGTAAACTGACACCCCAAATCCACCGGAAGGCAGGGTCTTGATTACAGATTTTTAGATAGAACACATTTACCGAGTCCAGACTGAGACTGACAAGCTTCCTGGTCATCTTCCTATGCCAGTAGCGGATTTCCCCCCGCTAAGTTCCCCTTCCACTGAGTAGGCAGCTCTTCAGGAATACTGGTTTTAGGCAGATCCTCAGCTTTAATTCCCTGCGATGCAAGAGTCTAAGGCCTCAGCTTCTTTCTAGCATTAAAACACAAGCTGTTATGTGACAAACCTTTCCCCAGGCTAGTCTCTTGTGATAGCTTGGGGCTTGTTGCTTTGCTTTTTAGTTCCTTTTTCACTTCTGGACCCTGGTATTGTCCTTACTTGCTTAGGAGCTCAGCTATGTATTTAAAAGAACATTTATTAAGTTTGCCAGCATTTCTCCTCTTCTCCCCTCTCCCGATAATCTAGCCCACTGTATTCTCATTCAGGGTTGGGCCTTGATGTAACTCTAACATTTTTCAAATCTGTGATTTTAGTTCTTGTTTTTGAAGACTGAATAAGGTTATAAATCTAGTCATGAGGAATTTTAATGAGTAAAGGAAGCAGAGATGGGTCAGGGAGAGCCCTACACTCCTTTCAGGATTGTGGGTCCTTCTCTGCCTCCTCTTTCTCAAATAATAAGGGCCCCTTAGTTTTGATCTTTTTGTCAGACGGGGGTTAGCGCTTGGTATTCTCTTCATACAGTGCTTTCTCCTCCCTCCTGTTGGGATTTTTTCTGCCTAGAACCTGGGCCTTCTAGGATTTTTTTTAAGTAAACCATTTCCCTGTCGCCAGCAGAAAATGAAGGAGTGTTCCTGAAATCCAGTGTCTGGTAACTTGACAGTTTCCAGTCTAAATAAGCGACCATTTCTTCTTAAACTGATTCCCTTGAAAAAGGGCCACAATTATGGGCTGCCATTTACTTGATAGGAGTCAGACATAATAGATTTAAAGCAATCAAAATATTACAAAACAAGGGAGTTACATCAGCTTTAAAATAGTGGGTCTAGAGGATTGTGGCAAAATCCAGGCAGCCTTAATTAGTTCAGCAACCAACAGTATTCTGTTGTCAGTTGGGTATATTTTCTTGTAGTTTTCTTTTTTCCTTTGAAAAATTTCTTCACAAAGTTGTGAGATAAATATATATTTCCCACCTAATGTTTGGTATAATGTTATTATGAGTTCTTCATAAACTTGTAGTATCTACATAGTGTTTTATTCAAGGAGCAAAATTTACTTCACTATTCTCCCATATTGTATACTTAATTTAATTCCAGTTTCTTCTCCTTCCTTCTCCTTCTTCCCTCCCCCTCTTTATCCTATTCCTTCTTTTCTATTATAAAGCTACAGTGAACACCATAATGAAATAAAAGGGGGAAAAAATGTTTTGTAAATATATTTAGGGTGGATTTCCAGAAATAGAATTATTGGGCAAATATTTTCATATTTTAAAGAATTTTGCAACATAGTGCAAAATTTCTTACCACGGGCATGGCACAAAAGTTCTGTTCTCCCAACAAGCTAACTGCTTCTTAAGTGGATGTCTTTCATTCCGTGTTGTGTCTGAGCAGTGGGCCATCTGACAGGGTCGTGGTGCTGATGCTTTCTCTGTGGTTCTTCTACAGGACATGGTGCCCGTCATAGTTGATTACTGCCTTGTGCTGCAGCGAAAGTGAGTATACATAGTCTGTCCAAATAGTGGAGTTATTTGGAACCTGGCTTACCTGTTAGTTTATGTATAGTTTACTGCTCTGAATTCTGTGTATTTGACTGGATAGATTTTTTAAATTAATTAATTTACAAAAATACAGTTCTTTAGCCATTTTTAGTGTATTCATCTAATCAAATTAACCTTTCCAAAATAAATGCAGAGCGTTTTTCATCTGTGTGTTTGTGTGGCAGGACAGAGGAGGCTAAGAACGTAACTAACGAAAGAGCAATGCTGCTTAAGGACCGTAAGCATAGACGTGTGTGATTCACGTACTGCATATGTACCTGTTTATGAACGATCACTCCTGGTATCTCATACCACCCAAAAAAGACGAGCTACACTGTGCTTCTGTGATGTTGCCCTGAAGAGCCTTTTTTGTTTAAAAGAAATAAGTGTGAATAAACTCTTGATTAGGCTTTGTTGGTTTGAATGGTAACCATAGAAATTAACAAACCTGTGCTAATTCACAGTTTTTTCACACTTATAATAGGCCCCTGTATGGCAGATGTTGTTCTAAGCCCTTTATGTTAACTCATCTCATTTTTTATAAAACCTTAATCTGACTTTTGTAACAATGAAGTAGGTATAATTATCCCTGTTTTACTAGAGGTTCCAGAGGCAAAAAGTGATGGAATAATTTGCCAAAGTTCACTCAACGCTGCTTTTGAGGGCAAGTTTGGGATTCAAATCTAGGCAGTCTAGCTTCTGTCTCTTGCTTTCAACTACTAGCTGGTACCACTTTCAAAGTGGTAGAGAACACATGTTAGGATCCAATTCCAAAATCCCTTTTCAACACCTACCTGACTCATGAGTTCATGTATATCCAGGTAGCCTGACTCAATAAAGGTTGGCAGGGGCTGCGACTCCAGGATCCACCTGAAAACCCAGGAGCTAAGCCAGGTAGACAGGTATTACTCCCAGGTTTCTGAGGTAGCACCCAAGCCTCTAGTGACCAGGCCCAGCGGAAGGACTTAAGCTCGATTTTATTCTATGGCCACATGATCATCCATAACAAAAGTACCATGATTAAAACCAAGTATCTGTGAGGTGTCAGGCCTAATCTTTTTGCCAGGTGTCAGATTCATATCCTTATTCCTTATTTTGAACCCTGGTGGCATAGTAGTTAAGAAGTCGGCTGCTAACCAAACGGTTGGCAGTTTGAATCCACCAGCTGCTTCTTGGAAATCCTATGGAGCAGTTCTTCTTTGTCCTGTGGGGTCGCTATGAGTTGGAATGGACTCAACAGCAATTTTTTTTTTATTCCTTATTTTATGCCTTTAATCATTTTAAATGTACTTAAAAAATGATTTCTACTTGATGAATAATATTATTTAAAGCTGTAGAGGTCTGGCACTGCTGTTTGTAATTTTTGCTGACACTCACTCATGGTGCATTATTTCATCGTGTGCTTTAAAATTGTTCTTTGTTCAACATTAGGATCGTTGTTTGAGATACAGAAAAATCTTAATTATCTTGTACAGATAAGAAACTAGATGTTTCAGATAACTGTTTCCTTGATAATTACATGTTAAAATTTTAAATATCAAAAAGTAAGGGAAAAGAAGATGCCATGCCTTTTTAATTTCATAACAGCTTTATTGCAATTTAATTCACGGACCGTAAAATTCACTCTTCTTAAGTGTACAGTTCAATAGCTCTAGTATAGGCAGGGTTGTACAGCCATCACCACTAAGCTGTGCCTTTTTAAAGAAAATCTTTTGAAACTGTGATACCTGTATCAGAAAAGAGCATTTGAACATAATTTCTCCACATTTGAACTTTGCTTTTACTTTTATAAATAAAGAGACCAGCCCAAAATCAACTCTGAATTTATTAAATTTCACTTGTGTTTAGTGGGAATTTGTTTAGTTGGTTCTGGTTATATACAGCGAAACCTCTGAGAGCCGGAACTCGACAGGACTGGCTTGTTTTTCCACCTTTGACAGAATACAGTCTTACCACTTCCCTGTGGTTCGTTTTAGTGGAAAATACTTGCATTTTCCTTCTCTGAGAGGTTTCCAGCTTACACAGGTTGTGGCTTTTGCTGGTTTTACTGCATTCAGTACAGACGGCAAGTGTCCCAATTGATGTTCTCCTCCCTTCCAGACAGTATCTGAATCTGGAATCATCTTCTGATCATCACTAAGTTCTTAACATTTTTTAAGTTGTAGAATTGATAATGTACAAAGTGAAGTTAGCCATTTCTATCAATTTGAAGTCATGAATGCTAAGTAAACTCCAAATGAGTGTTAATATGAGTGTTAACATAAAGGGAAGGTATGCAGAAAGAGAACCTCTTTGATGGCCCTCTGTTAATCAGCATGGATTTTCTGTTATACTGGCTATAGGGAGGCTGAGCTTAAAATGGTAAACAGGAAAATTAAAGTCGGCCCTTGCGGGAAACAAAGTCAGCACCCTGGGAGAATAATGCCTAAATGTAGCGAGAAACACGAGAGCTAACACCTTTTTTTTTCCTGTGTAATTTTTTTCCCCTCAGATTCTCTAATAAATACTCTCTCAGAACAAAGAGAACACGTCTTAGAATTTTGTTTTATTTTTACTTTAAGGTGGAGATGCAGAGAGGGGTTGTCAAATCTTATTTTTCTTGCTTCTTTATTATAGTCTCTGACCGGTTCATAAAGAAACGTGTAGTTTTGCCATTAATCTTACCAGCATTGCGTGCTGCTCCTTGTCACAGAAGTGCCTTCTTTGTCAACTTTTATGCTCTGTTTACTGAATTTTTAGCTCTCTCTAATTCTCCTCCCCAGGGCTTTTGTGCTGAACTAAAATATATAATTATCTGCCCTCGTATGTTGTTTTTAACAACACAGAGTGCAAAGGCTAGCAAATAGGACATTTTCTTCAGCTTCATTAGCGTTAATTGTTTTGTTGCTCTTATTTCTTCTTTCTCACAGTAAAGCATCATTAATCTCAGTTTCTTTTACTTGGCTGGCAGCTGGTAATCAGAATAATGTGGTGAACTGTTGATTAAGATGAAGCTAACGTGAAAAAAACTCAAATAGGAAACGAAGGGGAAGGTGATGCAAAAGTTACGTTTGTGCCCTTGAGGAAGAAAATAAATGGCTATGGGTTTTCCCCAGAATGTTGTAAAATCTGTTTATTGAAAGGTGGACGTGGTTCTGGCGCCATGGTAGCCAGTCCATTCACCTTGCATCCCCTTGCAGGGCTTCAGATGGGACAAGACCCCAGCCCATTTCTTCCAGGATCTTCCCTGACCTTTTGTGGGGCTTGTCTCAAAGGATTACACCTGTGGATAAATGATCTACCACTTTTCACAATTTACATGACGCACATACAAAGAGATTAAAAGAAAAAACTAAACGTGTTGCCATCGAGTCCATTCCGACTCATAGCGACCCCATAGGACACATGAGAACTGCCGCATAGGGTTCCCAAGGAGCAGCTGGTGGATTCCAACTGCAAAAAGAGATTACACGTTTATAAATAAATATTTAAAATTTTTACGAGGTAAATAGAATCAGCAGAGTTTATGTATTTAAAACATACAGAATGAACAAATAAGTGAATGATACAAGGCAATGCAATTTATAAATGGGAATATGGAAGAGATTCCATTTTGCCAGTCGTGAAAGAATTAAAATGATGGTGCAGTTTATTTTGTCCTTATTAAATTATCAGGAAAAAGGAAAACGAACTCACAGTTATCTGTTGAAACTGATGTATGATTTATACGTTGCTGGTGGCAGTGTAAATTGGTGCTGTGATGCCTTTTGAAAAAATTTAGTAATCCATGTCAGGTGCCACAAAATTTTCATATCTTTTGACTTAGAGTAAATTTCTAAAAGTAGGATGACTAAGGTGTTAAGCTCCCAAAATGGGAGAGGCTATATGTGTAGCTGTTCGGTGCGGTATCACTCACAGTATTAAAATAGTGGAAATACTTGATGTGTCCAACACCACAGGAGAGTAAGTCCATCCCGGTGTTTCAGCGTATTGAGACACCGTGAGCTGGACAAAAATGGTGATTTGAAACAATAGGTAGCAACTTAGACTAACACTTATGATATAATGTTACATGAAAACAGAATTCAGAACTATCTCTATGCCGATTATAACTAAAATCATATAAGGACTATTTGTAGAAGAAATATGGAATAAATACAGTAATTTAGAGTGGCGGCTTGTAGAGTAATTTTGGAAATTTCTGTTTCTGAAATAAGAGTGTTACCAGATATATATATTTTTAATATTAACATTTTCTTCTTCCTCTCCCATCAATACTCACTGCCCAAACCCTTTGGAAAGCAGGGGTAAGAGCTAGATTAAAGAAGCAAATTGGCTGTGCATATCAGCTTGGAATATTTAGATACCCGTTAAAAAAACCCACTGCTGTTGAGTTGATTCTGACTCATAGTGACGCTAGAGGACAGAGTAGAAGTGCCCCATAGGGTTTCCAAGGAGCTGCTGGTGGATTCAAACTGCCGACCTTTTGGTTAGCGGCCACGCTCTTAACCTCTGCGCCAGCAGGGCTCCATATTTAGATACCAGGAAGGAGGAAAGGATAAATTAGGAGTAGACTTAAAATTTTTTTCTCTATTCATTATGTCAACCTACTACTCCCCATCCCCATGTCAGTGTTGTTATCTTTAAGAAGCACTGTGCGCTAATAGGGGCCCTGGTGGTGCAGAGGTTAAGAGCTTGGCTGCTAACCAAAAGATCAGCAGTTTGAATCCACCAGCCGCTCCTTAGAAACCCTGTGGGGCAGTTCTTCTCCATCCTGTAGGGTCACTATGGGTGGGAACCAGCTGGATGGCAGCGGGTGGGCTAGAAGGCTGGGTGCAAAATCTGACTCTGTCACTTACTGTGTGACTTTCAGCAAATAATTTAAAAGTATTGAGAGGATTAACTGAGATAATATATATGAAAAGCTTTTCACAATATAAAGCTCTCTGTAAATACTGTTACTGTTTTTAATAAGCTCATGAGTAAGTCGAGCTAATGAAAAGATGAGACTGTACTTAGTCTGAACTTAATGGATGTTTGGAATGGTTCTAAACATTTTTTTTTCCCCTTCTGTTATAGGGATCTTTTATTTAGCCAGATGTATGACAAATTAAGTGAGAATTCAGTGGCCAAAGGAGTGTTTTTGGAGTGCCTTGAGCCATATATTTTAAGTGATAAATTGGTGGGGATCACACCCCAGGTAATGAAAGACTTGATTGTTCATTTCCAAGATAAAAAGTTAATGGAAAATGTGGAAGCCCTCATTGTACATATGGATATCACCAGCCTGGATATTCAGCAGGTGAGCTTATAGACAGTCCGCTGCCTTTCAGAGTAAACATCCGTCAAACTCATGACCAAAGGTAAAATGAATGTGCAAAAGGCGAAGGTAGGGACCCTTTCTTGTGCCCTTTCAGGGTTGATGCTGTGACTTAAGAGGCTAACACAGAAGGTTAAAGTAAGTTTCTGTGCAACCCAGAGCAGAGATCGGAGGACTTCTCTTTGGATCCTCTCTGGAGTCACAACTGGAGAAAAAAGCAGAGGGGGGTAGAAAACAAACAAAATTAGACGTTGGGGAATGTTTAAGACTCCCTAACACTGAACCTTAGGCCTCTGGGTGGCGCGACTGGTTTGTGCTTGGCTGCCAAGCTAAGGGTTGGCAGTGTGAACCCACCCAGGGGTGCCATGGAAGAAAGCCCTGGTGATCTGCTTCCCTAAAGATTAGAAAACAAACTCACTGAGTCAGTTCTGACCCATGGGGTTTGTGAAGATTACAGCCAAGAAACCCTTACGGAGCGATTCCACGGGCGTTGCCATGAGTTGGCATCGACTCGATGACATTGGGGTTTTTTGTTTGTTTTTTATAGTGTTGAACCTGCAACAGTTCTTACCTTGGCACTGTGTTTGAGTATTACAATTTCATTTTTTCTCAGAGAAGGAATAAAGAAACATCAGGAAAAAGAATTTAGGATTTCTTCATTCTTACAGTTTTAAGGAAAATAATTGGTGAAACTTCTTGAATTGGACGAAGTGACTTCTCCCTTTTATAGGTGGTTCTCATGTGCTGGGAAAATCGCCTCTATGATGCCATGATCTATGTCTACAACAGCGGCATGAACGAGTTTATCAGTCCAATGGAGGTAAGATGATTCCGAATTTGGACACTTGCTCGGTGTGTCTATTAATGTTTTCCCCCCAGTCTCCGTTTGCTTTGAATAGATGCTGTTGTTTTCATCCGATCACTTCGTCGTTTTTTGTGGGTTTATTAGACTTTCAGCCGTATTTGCTCGGGGCTTTCAAGTGATCTTTAGTTTCGTGTTTTTTTCTCATTGCATTCTTTTGTTGTCTGCGTAAGTAGGTAATTAAATCCCAGGGAACAATAGATAAAATTAAAAATAATGCTTGCCTGTTTGACTTTAGCTATTTTTTTTTCTCCTCAACTTTTTGGTACACGAATAGCTTTTCCAAAAGGTACAAGAAATACATTGTATAGAGTAATTGTGTATAGTAACGTCCTATCGGGTAATGCTATTTGTAGATCTCATCTGCTGGAGGAGGGGCTTGAAACGGTGGGAGGTCATTATTTGTGAATTGCTAATTTCTTGCTTTTCCGTGTTCAGAATTTGTAACGTTTGTTACAATTTTTTATTCCCTTGGCCCTTAGAAATGAGCATCTAAAAAGCGTTCGGGTTTGTTTTAAAAAGAACCAAACCCCATATTCATCTGGCTATTTGCCTTAAACTTGAAGACAGAATTGTGGATGCTGGGTTACACCTGTGTGTAGTACCCCCAGCCCCTTGCACTGTTGCTGTGGGTAGTTTCTTGGCTCAGAAGGGCCAGCCGGAAGGCATCCAGTCAGGTTTTTTGCATATTGAATGACTGTCCAGCACTGCCTTCAGCATTATTAAATCAGCAATCGTTGTGTGACGTTTCAGGCTTCTTTGAGCACATTTAGTGTGGTAGGGTGAGTATCCCTCTGTGTCAGGATCTAGTGCTGCTATAGCAGAAATACCTCACAGTTTAGGAGGCTAGAAGTCCAAATTCAGGGCGTCAGCTCCAGGGGAAGCCTTTCTCTGTCTGTCAGCTCCTCTTTCTTGATGGTATGAGGTCCTCCTGTCTCTCTGGTCGAGCCTCTCTTTTATATCTCAAGAGATTGACTTAAGATACAGCTTAATCCTGTAGATTGCCTCCGGCCTCATTAACCTCACAAAGGTTAGGATTTACAACACCTAGGATAATCGCATCAGATCACAAAATGGAGGACAACCACACAATACTGCGAATCATGGCCTAGCCAAGCTGACACGCGTCTTTGGCGGACGCAGTTCAGTGCATCACACCCTCTAATTCATAACTCCCTCAATTTAGTTTCCACGTCTCTTTTCTTGGCCATTTTCTAAAATGAGTGCCACACACCACTCCCGCTGGTTTTGACCCTGATTGTTTGTGTGCCAGGCGTTCTTTACACTTGAACATCTCAGCTACTTTCTGGCGCAGGAAGACCTGTTATCCGCAGCCTCACTGAGACCCGGTACCTCGCTGGGTGCAGAGAACATTCTCTGTCCCGTTATTAAACCACAATGACGAAGAGTTAATGCAGTTTCTAATTTCTCTCAAAATAATCTCTGAAAACAGATTCGGATTTGATCCATACCACATTGATAAAATGATGGCTGGGGTTTTGTTATTGTTGCTGTTGAAGTTTTTGTCCTGTGTGTGTCCCCCCGCCCAGTCAGGTTTGCATTTGTTCCTGTACATCTCAGGTGGGACACTGGGCTGTTGTGGTCCCATTACTTTGTGCCAACACTAGTTTTCAGGTCTAACGGCTTCAGCGGGAGCTTGGTGTTTGTTATTAAATACTCCTTTGGAGACTTTGGCAGCGGGAGGTGAGGCGCTGCTAGAATTCCTTTCTGATAATTCTCTGCCTGTAAAGAGATCGATGGGCTGAAAGGTGTAGCTATTTTGGTGCTTGAAGAGGTCTAAATTAGGAGGGGCTGTTCCTGCCTTTTGAAATTTTCCAGATTTTCTAGAATGGAAGTGTTACCACGTTTCAGATGACCACTAGAGCCCCTAAAATCTTTTCTTAGTTCAAGTTTTGGCTGCCTCTGAGGTAAGAGTAATGCTTTGTTTACCATTTTTTAAGAATATAAAGCACTTTAGGAACCTACAGGATACCTTGCATAGCAGAAATTGTAATTTCAACAAAGACCTTCACCTGACCGGGGATGACGAAATGGTTTCTTTCCGTGAGGAAAGTGGCCACGACTGTTTCTCCGTGATCCTTCCTGGGCAGAATAGCGTTCGTTCACACTGAAAGTTTTTCTGTCTAATCTCGATAGCAAGTGACTGTCTGATCGGGTCAGAGGAGGGTGGTCAGGAGTGTAAGATTCTTGAGTGTCTTTTGCTAAAAGTACTATCTTTGCAAGTGATGGTGATTGTTTTCCTGTTAATTTGAACGCAGAAACTTTTCAGAGTCATCACTTCTCCGCTGAATGCAGGAAAGACGCTCACAGGTAACAGCTCTCCACACTTTAATTTCTTCCCCGTTTTTATTTCAAGGTGTTATTGAATATCATAAAATTCACCGATTTTACGTGTGCAGTCTGAATTTTGATAATTGTATATAACTGTATAACCACCACAATAATCAAACTCTGGAGCCCTGGTGGTACAGTGGTTAAGAGCTTGGCTGCTAATTGAAAGGTCGGCAGTTCAAATCCACCAGCCACTCCTTGGAAACCCTATGCTACAGTTCTACTCTGTCCTGTAGGGTCGCTGTGAGTTGGAATTGACTTGATGGCAACGGGTTTGTTTTTTTTTTTTTGGTTTAGTTCCTTCACACTAAAAAAGTTTCCCTGGTCCCTTTGTACAGTCCTCCTCCAGGCAGTCACTCATCTGCTTTCGGCCACCACGGTGTTGCCTTTTCTAGAGTTTCGTGTAAATGGAGTCATACCATGCGCAATCTTTGGTGTTTGATTTCTTCTGCTTAGCAGAATGTTTTTGAGGTTCATCCGTGTTGTTGTATGTACTAAGATTTCGTTCCTTTTTATCGATGAATGGTATTCCATGGATTGACTATGCAGCAGTCCTCATTATTTGTGGATTCTGTACTTGCAAATTTGCCTACTGGCTAAAATTTATTTGCACTCCCAGAATCAGTACTTGCGGCACTTTTGCAGTCAGTCACAGACATGCACAGAGTGGCGAAAAATTTGAGTTGAAGTGCTGTCTAGGGTTCCTGCGTGCAGGAAGCCAGTGATGGGCTTGTGGAGAAAACACGTGCGTTAGGCAAACTTCCTGCAGGCACGAGTTCCGGTGCTGTTGGCCGTGAGCTCAGCGTTAATAAATCAGCAGCATGGAACATCGATAAAGGAAGAGGAGGTTCATTGAGGCTTCCCCAGAAAGGGCTAAAGTAACGTCTATAGTGCGTGACGAAACTGTGGAAAAGATGGAACGGCTGCTAAATTTGTGGATTCATGAGATGACAACTGATTGAAAATGTGTAGCAGACAGCATTTTTCTGTTTGAGACCGAAAGCCAAAGGAATTTTTGACCATGTCACCCAAGGTCAGAAAAATGTTCAACCCATCCCCTGAGTCGACTCGAGGACCATGGGTTTGGGTATTTAACTCTCTCTAGGGATGTCATGAGCCAGACATGTTCTACCTGAGATTTATAACAGTAAGGATTTACCTAATTAGCCAATAGGCATGAACTGTTCATCCCAGTAAAGTGACTGCCACAATGTATCGTGCTAGTTGAGTTGGATCGAATATTTGGAATTGATGCAAAATGTAATTATTCATATTATTTTGAGCAATTCCAGTTTATTTGCACTAATGACATCACAGAGTTGAAGTGTTTTCGAAAAATTAGTGATAAATGAAAGATTTACGTTTGTTTGCATTGTGTGCAATATTCATATACCAAAAATAGACACTTCAGCTCACTATCATTACCAGCCACAAATTCCTGTAAACCTGTATACCGTAAGAATTCCTGACCCCTTCCTCCATTTCTGATGCTCCTACTCTATGCTGTTGACTTTGACCCGTTGGCCTAAATCTTGGTCTAATTATATTTCTGATTGTTTTAGTCAAAGAAATAGGCTTACAATTCTACAATTGTATAACTTAGAAGAATAGCAACCAAACCCAAACCCGTTGCTGTAAAGTCGATTCCGACTCATAGAGACTGAACCTATAAGGCAGAGTGGAACTGCCCCATATGGTTTCCAAGGAGTAGCTGTTGGATTCAAACTGCCAACCTTTTGGTTAGCAGCCGAGCTCTTAACCACTGTGCCACCAGGGCTCAAGAATAGTAGAAGGGACCCTGAAGTCATTTAGTATATATAAATCCCTTCTTTGAGATCAGTGACCTTCTCAGGCCTAGAGTACTGTAGGTGGTGAGAATCCATGTTATAAATGAGGTGAAATTATAGTTATGTCTTAACATTAATTAATTGGCTATGATCTGTAATTCCATGACTCATCGCCTGCTCTACACCTTCCCCCAGACCTGTGCTAGTGGTTAAACCCCCAATACATAGGTCTCTACCCTCAGATCTGTTTCTTGAGTAACTCATATTGATTTTATGTCTATGAATGTAAAGGAAATTCTAAAAATAATAATTAAAGTGGTCCTGTCTCATTTTTATGTTATTTGAGAATATATTACCTCACCTTAAATGCCAAGTTTTATTTTTTGTTTTCACATAAAGATTCTATTTCTGAAAAAGTTTTGAGAGAGAATTGCTAAAGATCTTTCTATTTTAGATGAGCAAGTTGTTATGGGCAACAAGCTTCTTGTATATATTAGGTAAGAATTTTTATTTGTCTGTGTGTGTGTTCCTTCCATAATTCTTTTCTTTGTTCTTAGAGCTGCTATTATCTCTTATCTATATAATGCTTTTCATTTTTAAATGTTCTTTCGTGGAGTGCTGTAGTTCCCAACTAGGGGTAGTTTTGCCCCACCCCCACCCCCTCAGGACATTCGGCGAATCCCTGGGTGGTGCAGATGCTTAAGCACTTGACTGCTAACCAAAAGGTTGGTGGTTTGAACCCACCCTGAGGCACCTAGGAAGACAGGCCTGGCAATCTTCTGAAAGGTCTTCCAAAAGCCTTGAAATCCCTATGGAGCAGTTCTTCTCTGCACACATGGGGTTGCCGTGAGTCGGAATCAAGTCAACACGAGTCGGGATCCAGTCGACACCAACTGGTTTGTTTTTGGTTTGGAGACATTTTTGGTTGTCACAGCTCGGGGTGGGTGATGCTACTGGCATCTAGGGGTAGAGGCCAGGGATGCTGCCAAGCATCCTACAATGCACAGGGCAGCTCCCACAACAGAAAATTATCTGGTCCAAAATGTTGATAGTCCTGAGGTTGGAAACCCCTGATGTGTGATACTTTGCACTGACTACTGACAGCTTGGTGGAGTACATGTTATCTCTACCTTGTATATAAGTGCACGCAACGTGCTTAAATCATGAAGAAGTTAGTGGCAGAGGCACTGGAGTGTTTATCTTCTGACTCCTAGAGCAGAACTTTTTCCAGTAGACTGCACAGACCCAGGACTGAGTCCTGGTAGCACTTTCTGATAAACAGCTGGCTGGCCGGCAGCAAGCAGGCAGACAGGAAGGTGGCAGAACCTAACAGAGCATCATTTTCACTCCTGTGTAGCATCAGAGGCAACTTCAAGCCCTGTTTCACGCTTGTTACATAGATTCTTTAGTGTAGAAGAGTATATGCCACATCATTTTCTTAGTACTTTATTATCTATACGGAACTGGTGGCACAGTGGTTAAGTGCTTGGCTGCTAACTGAAAGGTCAGTAGATCGAAACGACCAGCTGCTCCATGGGGAAAGATGTGGCAATCTGCTTCCGTAAAGATTAAAGCCTTAGAAACCCTATGAGGCAGTTCTACTCTGTCCTGTAGGATTGCTGTGAGTCAGGCGTGACAGCAGTGAGTTTGTTTTTTGTTTTTTAATTATCTATGCATTAAACTCCTTAGAACATGCTTGAACCCCCGTCTCTAATCTAACATTGAAAGTGACTGACTAGTTCAAAGAGGTTTAAAAATCTCCCTTACCCCAAAATAGGAAAAACAGAACATACTCAGAAGACATCTGTAATACTTCACCGCACAAGGGGAATCATTAGCCATTTTCTGCTTTGAAGGCAAAACTGTGGAGTGAATTTCTCACCAGATCTCACTCTCCCTGAAGGCTGCGCGTTGCACATGTTTTCCCGACATTTGCTCGCCTGTCCCCTCTTCATCTCTAGGCACCATTCTTAGAACCACTGGTTTAAATGCCTCTGAGAACATCAGGCCCTTAACAGGTAAATCATAATCCCAGGGCACTGCTGGTTCTAGCTAGCTGCAGGGTTTGGGGCCTTTAGATAATCCCTCCCCATTCCCGCTTGCCCTTGAGTGCAGCTTGGGTTTTTCTTAGGAAAAATAAGAAGAAACGAAAGCCCCTACCCCGTCAACAGGACATCTTACTTCACCACCATCCCTGTCACCTGCATTTTCTGACCCGGATAGCTTGATGATTTTGGACCTCACCTAACTGACAAAAGCTGGGTTTGGTTAAGAATCCAGCTATTATCTAGGCTCTGAGAAGCAGTGTGTTACCCGGAGTTAACCCTTTACAAGTCACGAAATGTCCGTCCTCATTCTTCCTTCTAGCTGTTGCCTAGCGGGCCGTGCCTATCCTCTTGGTGACATCCCTGAAGATCTTGTTCCTTTGGTCAAAAACCAGGTTAGTGATTGTGACTATTCTCGTCTCCTGATAAATAAATCATCAAATTGAAAACTAAAAAAAAAAAAAACGAAAAAAAACCAGGTTAGTACTGTTTTCACCACATTTTTACCATCACCTCTTGTTAAGGCGGCCTGGTGGCACAGTGGTTAAGCACTCAGCTGCTAACTGAAAGTCAGCAGTTCCAACCAACAAACCACTCCGCGGAAGAAAAGACCTGGTGATCTGCTTCCATAAAGATTTCCGCGTAGAAAACCCTATGGGGCAGTTCTGCTCTGTCCTGTAGGGTCGCTATGAGCCAGAATCGACACGATGGCACCCAACAACAACATACCTCTTGTTAAGATGCACTGAAATTCTAGTTGAGCATTACATGTGGGTCAAGAGCTATAGGCTAATACAGGAGAGAGCCTAAAGTCAGTAATTATAACTGAGACAGGTTTTAAGATAGAACTTTCAACATAGTGACCATTTAAACCGAATTCAGCCTGCCTTTATTTAATCCAGATGGAATCATTGCTTCAGCAAAATAGTTGTCAGGCAAGACAGAAAAGGAAAATTACCACTTTTTTCTTCTTTTTTTTAACTTGCAGGTTTTTGAATTTCTAATTCGTCTGCACTCAGCAGAAGCTTCCCCTGAGGAAGAAATCTATCCCTATATTCGAACTTTGCTGCATTTTGACACAAGAGAATTTCTAAATGTTTTGGCTCTGGTAAGAAACAGTATGATGTTACGGTATTTTCAAAGGAGGCAGCGTGATAATTTTTTTAATAGAAAGAAAGAGAAATAATAATCCTCATGCAAGTGCAGCCCCTCTGCCGTAGCAGTCAAGGTTGTAAAAGTTTAACTTGGTTGTGCCGCCCACATGCTCTCTGGTTCCTGATGTCCGTCCCTCCTAACCCCAGTCTCTCAAGCACGGTCATTGGAAAGTTAAAGAAAGCAGGCTTAGATGTTCTGCAACCTTGATGTTATAAATTATACTCCCTGGCATACTAAGTGTGGGAGACGGGCCTGAAGGAGACGCGGTGGTGCGAATAAGGGAAATCACTGGCGCTGAAACGGAACTCAGACACTTCTGCTTAAAAAACACCCTCGTGCATGTTTGATTAGAGATAGATTGGGTTGGCCAGATTTCTGTGAAAATGACCCTCGGGTATGGTTAAAAAAACATGATATATCTTCTCAATTAAATAGCATAATAGCTTTTTTTTAAAGAGTTTTTGATAACATGTGAAATGCTTACATTGTAGTGTTTAATGGAAGCAGCAGGCTGACAGCACACACACACACCTAAATATTAACTAATGTTAATAATTATTAATATTGATATTACTGTGAGATTGGACAAATTTCCCTCGTGAGTGTATACTGCTTTTATAAATTTAATAATATAGTAAACTTCTAACAACAAGGTAAGTAACCACGAGAAGATTAAGCTTCAGATTATGTTATAGTTTAAATTATTTTAATTTGTAAACCTAACTGCAGAGTAGTAACTTTAATCACGCAGAAAGAAGGGAAAAGAAACTTCGAATCGGAAGCCAGGTCTAGTTGTTTAGACATACAGAGGAAAACGTAAGGATACTGGGTGCCTGGCATGTGGGAATACAGAACAGGAAATGGTGGGTGGAGTCAAAAAAGAGCGACAGAGAGCAACAAAGACTTGTACCTAATTTCCGTTTTTTAGCAAGCTATGATAGCAGCGAACATTTTTTGGAAGTATGCTGATGGCTGATGTTTGAATTATGATGCTGGGATTTATAGTAAAGTTCAAAACAATCTCTCTCTGAAGTCATTGATTTGCTTCACAAACATTTGAGTGCCCATATATCCCAAGCACTCTACTAAGTGGGGACTGCAACCCTGGCTGAAGTGTATACAGACTTGTAAATAAGTAATCATAGCACAGTGTAGAATATACCGTAGCGGATGTGCAGGATACTGTGGAAACGCCTAGGAGGACTGTCTGATGGAGGTGTGGGAAAGGTTTCTGGGATGAAATGATGTCCATTCTGAGCCTTAAAGGATGGATGAGTAAAAGTCAGACAGGTGAAGGATAGGAAAAATATCCTAGACAGAAGGAGAGAATATGTAAACAGGCCTGGAAACAAGGCAGCAATGTGTGTTCAAGGAATTGGGGAGAAATCAGCATGGTTTTAGCTGTTGGTTTTGTCAGCGCCCTTGATCTGGATGAGGAAGTTCCTTCCCTTCCAGTCACAGCTTGCTGAGAGTTTTCATCAGGAATAGATGTTGGGTTTCGTCAGATCTTTTTTCTGTAACTATTAAAATGATCATATGTTTGTTCTTTTTTGGTTTGTTAGTATGATGAATTACCTTGATTGATTTTTGGAACATTACACAAACCTTGCATTCTGAGATAAACCCCACTTGGTCATGACGTAGTATCCTTTTAGATTCAGTTTGCTAAAAGTGAATGTCCATCAGGCTTAGTGGTCTGTATTTTTCTTGTAAGGTTTTGTTTGGTTTTGGTATCAGGGTAATGGTGACCTCGTAGGACAATCTGGGAAGTATTACCTCCTCTTCAGTTATCTGGAAGAGTTTGTGAATAATAGATATTATTATTCCTAAAATCGTCAGTAGAATTCACCAGTAAAGCCATCTAGGCCTGGAGTTTTCTTTATAGCAAGATTTTAAACTACAAATTTAAGTTAACAGATACAGGAGTGTTCAGAGTTTCCGTTTCTTCTTGAAGGAGGTTGATAGTTTATATCTTTAAAAAAAATTTATCCATTTCATCTAAGTTGACAAATTTATTGGCAAAAAGTGTTTATAATATCCCCCTGCTATTTTAATATCTGTAGAATCTCTAGTGATGTCATCTCTTTTTCCTGATAATGGTACTTTGTATCTTCTCTCCTTTTTATCCTGATAAACCTGGCTAGAAGTTCATCAATTTTATTCAGCTTCTCAAAGAACCAGATTTTTTTTTCAATGATTTCCTCTATTTTTCCCCCTATTTCAGTGATTTTCATTCTGATCTTTATTATTTCCTTCCTGCTTACTTTGGGTTTATTTTTGCTCTTTGTTGACTACATTCTTAAGATGGAAGCTGAGGTCACTTATTTGAGGCCTTTCTTTTTAATATAGGTGTTTAATGCTGTAAATTTTCCTCTAAGCACTGCTTTAGTGGTAGGCTACAATTTTGAAAGGCTATGTTTTTGTGTTTATTCAATTCAAAATATTTTCAGATTTTGTTATTGATTTCTTCTTTGTCCCACGGGTTATTTCAAAGTGTATTATTTAGTTTCCAGATATTTGAGAATTTTCCAAAGATCTTTCTTTTACTGATTTCCAGTTCATTTCCATCATAGTCAGAAAACATATGTTGTATGACTTGAATCCTTCTAAATTCATTGAGACTTGTTTTATGGCCCAGGAAAATGATCCATCTTGGTAAAGGTTCCCAAGTGCACTTGAGAAGAATATGCATTCTGCTGTTGTTGCATAGTGTTCTTTAAGTGTCAGTTAGGTTAAGTTGATGGTAACGTTGTTCAGGTTTTCCATATCCTAGCTAATTTCTACTACTTGTTCCATCAGTTCTTGAGAGAAACGAATTGTTGATTTGTCTATTTTCTCTCCCATTATTTTGTATTTCATCTTCAGAAACTCCAGTCATTTGTATGTTGGATCTTCTTTATCTTCTATATTTATCACCTTTTCTCTAATCTCTTTTACTTCTTGATTTCGATTTCATCGTCTTGGTTCTTTTCATTTATGTTCTGTATTGCTCTTACTACACCTTTGATCATATCTTTTCTCTCTTGGGTGCCTTGTAATCCTGTCTTCATTTCTGAGATGACTTTGTCTTTTCTTTGCTCTTTCTTTTCTAAGTTCAGCCAGGTCTTATTTCAATCTTCCTGTTCATGTTTTTTCTGAATTCTTAAGTTTCTGGTTCGTAATATTCTTTTATATTTGTAATTGTTTAAATAATTTTTAGTACCTGTTGGGATATTGGTATAGTTTACCTCTATTTTATAGATAGTTTTGTTTTGCTTTATTCTGGTGTGTCTTCATCTGCTGAAAAGTTTTTATTCTCCTTTTCTTTGTTGGATTTTTCTGGAGTAGCAATAGTAGGTGATCTTACTGGAAGGAGGGAGGAAATGACTTGTTTTCCTAGTTCAAAGGTGCCTTCTAATTTTACTACGATAAAGTACAATTTTTTAAATATGGCGCGGTAGTTAAGAGTTTGGCTGCTAATTAAAAGGTCGGCAGTTTGAATCCACCAGCTGCTCCTTGGAAACCCTATGGGGCAGTTCTGCTATGAGTCAGAATCAACTTGACGACAGGGTTTTTTTTTTTTTTTTTTTTTTTTTGAATTTTCGTCATCTCCTCGTTCTTTGACATTACCTTATCTTACAGAGAACTTTATCTTAATCCACTTCTTTCTTTACCGTATACCTTCACCACTTCTTTACCACTAACCCTCCAAGAAATATCTCCCCATTCCAAGGTACCTCCGTCTATCCCAAAAGCCATATCTTACCAACACTGCTACCTCTGATCCAAACTGTCCTGACCTTGTATCTCCCTAACAGCCAGTGCTCTGATTCACCAGGTCTCAGATCTGATCTCAATATTTCCTCACCCAGGATGGATCCCTCTTTTCTTCCGGAGGTGAATTGTACTTGATATGATGGTTTTCTGCTACCAATAGAAACTTTTCACATCCTCCTTTCTTCTGCATTATCCCATCCTGACTTTTGTGTTAAGGGGTTTGGAGCAAACTCTGTTAATTTGGGATGTTTATTTTCCCACTTATATGTAAGTTAAAAGTTTTAGGTATTTGTTGTCCGACTTTTTCCACTATCATGGATTGTGAGTGATTCTATTTTGCTCTTTTTTATTATATCAGGGCCTTTTTGAGGGATGTGTGAAAATATTAGGATAGCGGCCCACAACCTACAGCCTGTGGACAAAATCCAGCCCCATTTGACCTCTGCAAGCCAAGAATGGTTTTTGCATTTTTAAAGGGTTGTAAAAAAAATAAATAAAAAGAAGACTATGTAACAGAGACCGCATGTAGCCTGCAAAGCCTAAAATATTTACTATCTGGCACTTTACAGAACAAGTTTGTGACCCTGGATTACGATTTAACTGGCTATTGTTACACTGGAGCCCTGGTGGTGCGGTGGTTAAGAGCTACGGCTGCTAATCAAAAGGTCAGCAGTTCGAATCCACCAGCCGCTGCTTGGAAACCCTATAGGGCGGTTCTACTCTGTCCTGTACGGTCGCTATGAGTCGGAATCGACTCGATGGCAAGGAGTGTCATTATGCCACAGACACCCCATAATAATTTTTTAAGAGACTGCAGAGAAAAGTTTTTATGACCAAATTCACAGATGACCTTGGACTTGAATTTTAGGTCTACCTTTGTGTTTCTAAAACTGTTATTCCCCATTACAACATCTTTGCATATTTTTCCTCTGTCGAGCTTTGTATGATCAGAAGCGTCTTTGCAGAATGATTGTGTTCTAACAAAGATGTGCCGTTTTGGTGGCAGTTGTGAAGTAGACCAGAATATGTCACCGTGTGTATCTTAATGGTCGCACTGTAGTACATTACCACTTGATCACGCTTCCTGAAACAAGCTGTAAGTATCTGTTTCAAAGCGGTGAATACGTGCTGCCAAAAGGCAAATGGGTAGGAAAATTATTTTTTTTACTTGCTGTCACTGCTGTAATTGTAAAAACGCGTATGTTAATTCTCCATGGTTTCGTATTGGATTTGAACAGCACTTGTATTAGCAGCTAGTACCTTCTGTTTGTGCCTGTGGAGTGACGTCTCACTTTGGCAGCCTGGTGTGTGTGTGTGTGTTTCTTATAAACCAGAAGAGGGAGCTGAGATACTTCCTAGGCCATCTGCCTGTCATATTTCACCCATTTAAATGTCAAGATGTCTTCTCTTGAAGCCTTCCAGACTGAGAATTCCTACAGTCTCCTTGGTAACTCATTTCAGCATTTCTCAGCTAGTTAACTGCAAATCAGTCTCATTAAAGAAAGAGATTTTTCTAAAATTTTATTTTTCTCTGTAAATAATCAAACTAGACAATTCAACAGTTGTTTGCTACGTGCCTACTGTGTGCCAGACAGGAGACGGAAGAGAAGGGCATGCTAATCAGAAAACAGCACAAGCAACGAAAGGTGCATTGGAAGAAGCTGGGGGAGTTGAGGGTACATTTAGAGAACAGCAGACAGTCTGATGTGAATGTCATTGTGATGTAGTTTGAAAGTTGATGGTTACAAAACACCATTTTTATCCATTGGGACAATAAGTAGTCTGTTTTCTTGTTTAAGGAAAAAGCAGTAAGTTATTACTATGTGGATTTCAGACATTCCTCAGAGTTTAATGTGCTTAGCAGAAGCGATAGGAAAGATCTTAAAGTCTTTCATCGTTTTTATTATTCAATAAATATTTTTATTTCAATTTTTTATAATGGATAAAATTTCAATTCCTTCATACGTGCATCCTACTTATACTAGTTATTTTCATGACATGCGGTTACCATATACTGCCAGACAGAATTCCATGCCATCATTTACATTGGTGCATGTTCTGTTCAAAATATATTTGCTCTACTTTAACAGGCACAGAAAATAAAAAGTGCTTTATTTGGCAGTGTTTTTAGAATAGGATACCTATTCTTTGTAAATAGGCTTGAAAAATTTGAACAGTTTGACGGTTTTACCATTATAATTTTTAAAAATACCTGTCTTTGAACATCATTTCTTTTTAGTTGTGATGGAAATCGTGAGGATTATTTTTCACGGCAGTGAAGAAACTGCATTTCAGTTATGATTTCCAAATAACATAGACTGAGTGGCTGAGCATGTGGTGTTCCATTCCTCTGTCTCAAGCCCTTTCTCCCAAATTGTCTCCCGCCATTAGTGTTCCTTCTCTTTTTCTTTGACTTCCTTTCACAAATCACTTTTTGGTTGTATGATAACCACTCAATTTCTATGTTTTTGATCTACTTCTAAGTCTCTGAATAGCATGCGATATCAAATGCTGTAGGTTTCTACTTAACTCACTAGAAATAACTCATTATTAAAGGTATTTAAGGAAAAACCTGAGGAGGAGTGGTTATCTTATTTGGGAATTTACTTGGATTTTTATTAACAATAATTTAATGTCTTGTTTCCTTCTAGAATTTGAAAGTAATAATTATTTTTAAAATTTCTTTCTCCCTTTTAGACCTTTGAAGATTTTAAAAATGACAAGCAAGCTGTGGAATATCAGCAGCGAATTGTGGATATTTTGTTGAAAGTAAGTATTGAAGGGATACACGCTTTAGTGATGTTTATATGAAGACAATTGAATTATTTCACAGCACGTCTTAAAATACTCTTATTTAGTGAAGTGATGTGTTGCAGTCATATTTTAAAGTTTTGTTATGGTGCCTTTGTCCCCAAGAGCTGAATGGAATGCTCATCATTCCTTCAGAAAACATTTAACGTATGTCAGCTTTATGCAGGATACAGGGTACCACCCTTGAGAAATGCATTTTATAATTGCTTTATTAGTGTGATTGCCTGCAATAATAGAGACGAACTTTTCAGAGTGGTTTAAAAAATAATTAACGTGAAGAATCTTCTGCCGTCTCATCCCACCATCCCTGTGCTGCTAAGGCAGGGCCGTGGTGACACCCAGGAAGGACTGGAGACCTCCGAGATGGCCATCCTCGCCTGATCCTAACTGGATGCAGTCCACACCTATTTCGAGATCTGTGCTGTTGCTACAGAATGAGGACAGGGTCTTTGCCTTCCCTCCTGCACAGCTTCAATCAGGCCAGCTTCTTCGGGTAGTTAAATCCCGGAAGTGTTCATTCTGTTCATTTGGCTGTGAAATGGAAGTTTCTTCCACTTAATGACTTTTAATTTACTTTGGACAAGAAATGACTTTTGATTAAAGTGACCCAAACCTAGGAAGACATTTTTTTGGAAACCAAAATTAAAAGTTGTACATAACAGTAATGCATTACATGTACATTATTTCTTTATGATTTTCAAAGCACATCTATATACATTATCTCATTTGAACTGTCTGTTAACCTTGTAAGATAAGCAGTGGTAAATATGAGAATAAACCAAAAAAAAAAAATCAAACCTGTTGCCATCGAGAGTCAATTCCGACTCATAGTGACCCTATAGGACAGAGTAGAACTGCCCCATAGAGTTTCCAAGGCTGTAGATTTTTACGGAAGCAGACTGCTACATCTTTTTGCCACGAAGCAGCTGGTGGGTTTGAACCACCAACCTTTCAGTTAGCAGTCGAGCACTTTAATCACTGTGCCACCATGGCTCCTTAGATATGAGAATAGGATCGCTAAACTCCCAAATAATTTCAGCTCCATACTAGGTGAGTAGTATGGATGATTTTCAGCTAGAATCCAAAGTTCCTTCCTGGATGGTCTCCCTGTCTCCAGTATTGCCCTCCTTTAATTTGTAATCTTGCCTCTCCTCTACCTAATATTATTCTATGGCTGCTCATTGAATTAGCTGGAATTAAATTCTGCGGTGAATGATAGAAAACTCAAAACAACAATAGTTTAATTGTGATGGGAATTTGTTTTTCTCATATAAGTCTGGCGGTAGGAAGCCTGATCTGGTAGGATGACTTCACAGACTTACAAGGGATACAGATTCCTTCTGTCTTACTGCTGTTATCCTTAGCACATGGTTTCTGCCTTTTTGTCCAAGATGGCTGCTCAGACTCCAGCCATCACATCTGCATTCTAGCCAACATTAATTCAGAAAGAATAAAGTGTTTCCTCTCTTTAAGGAAACTTCATAGAGTTTGTGTAGTATAATTCTGCTTACATCATATTGACCAGGACTTTGATGTATGGCCCTTAGCTGCTAAAAGAGACTGAGAAATGTAGTCTGTATTCTGGGTGATCACGTGTTTAGCTACAAAATGAGGAGCTGTTACTAAGCACAGAAGGGAAGACATGTTGGAGCACAAGCAGCAGTTCTGGCCGCAGCCATGTAAACTGTTTAACCTGATGTTCACAGTCTTCCTGTATTTTCTGTTCCCTGAATTCTTTATACCTGCTCCCCTGTGCCACCCCCACACGTCCTGTATAATGAACTCTTCAACCATAACGAAGTTACTGGAATTCGCTGACCTCTCTGTGTCCTCTTTATCACTGTATGCCCTTCACATGCCTTTTCTCTCAGCCCTCCAGGCCTTTTCTTTCCCTTTCTCTACCGTTTTTTGCAAGACTTAACCCTTTCGTTATCATTGCTATAATGGTATACCAGCCATTCTGGTGGTGCAGTGGTTAAGAGCTTGGCTGCCAACCAGAGGGTCGGCAGTTCAAATCTACCAGCCGCTCCTTGGAAACCCTACGGGGCAGATCTACTCGGTCCTGTAGGGTCGCTGTGAGTCGGAATGGACCCGACGAAAACGGGTTTGGTTTGGTTTTTTTGGTGGACCTTACTCTGGTTCTAATGCATTTAGCATCAAGGTGGGTCCCTTTTGAAATGTGTGAAGCTCAGCAGACAGGAGTTGGAGCCTCATTGTTGTGTAGATTGAGCATTCTATTAGGTGATGCTTCCTGGATGTGTTACTTTTGGAAACTTTTGCCTTTTTTCCCTTTATTTCTGTGAGATTAGGCTTGCAAGCATAATTATGGCTTTCCTGTGTGATAGGGAGCACTGATGGGTTTGTTTTGGTTTTTCTGTGTCATAATTGGAAACCCAGAGGTTCCCCCATGTAACCTAATGGAAAGGTGCCCGCAAAAAATTATTACTATACATTTCATTGGCATACTGTCATACCATACATCAGTGGCACCAAAGTGCCACTAGCCTTATTTGTGGGTTATATTACCAGATCATGTTTCTTAAAATCCATATTAAACCAAATGCGTTACCTTCGAGTCAATTCTGAATCATAGCAACCCTATAGGACAGAGTAGAACTGCCCCATAGGGTTTCCAAGGAGTGGCTGGTAGACTCGAACTGCTGACCTTTTTAGCAACTGTAGCTCTTAGCACTGCACCACCAGGACTCCAAATTCGTATTACCAAACAAAGAGGTAAACACACTCAACTAGTAGGCATGCATTCCAATAGTGAAAAAATCATGCCATCAAAAAAAATTTTTTAAATGAAAATTTGGTAACTAAAGGGTTTTAACTCAGATATCTTCCATGAGAAACTCTTGCTGAATCTCTCCCACACGTGCAGTTTTGATTAGTTTCCCTTCTCTGTAACACTTGATGCCGCACTTAACACAGACTGTACTGTCATTGCCTACGCATCTCTTCTCCTTCCTGGACTTGAGCTTCTTGAAGGTGGAGACTGTGAGAATTTCTTTTTTTTTTTTTTTTTGGTTATTGTTTTAACATGCCCAGAACTTAGCACATTGCCTGGGACCTAGTAGACGTTCAGGAAATGTTTGCAAGTTGATGAAATTTGAATTTAAAGCTACACGAAATGGCAAGAATGATCTACATGAAGAGACTAAAGCTCCATAAGTACTTACACTGTTCTTGTTGGTGAATTGGTACTTCTGTATGTTGTTTTAACGGCATTTACATTGAGTCGGTGAAGAATGAACTTCTGAGATTATTTTCTTGTGTCTGGTGATGGAGTTGCGGTAATTGGTTACAGTGTACTTTTGAAGGAGCCAGTCACAGTAGGACATAGACAGTGATCAAACCAAGGCATCAAACCAAGGGCATTGTGTGTGCTAAGGAGCTACAGACATGGAGGTGAAGAAACAGGTGATTTTTTTACATTGTACAAGATTACCCGGAAACGTTTTAAGCAGGGCCTCTGAGATTGGTCAGAGAGAGGAAATGGAGAGAGAAACCAGAATTTCTGGGATGAAAACCAGTTAGACGCTTGCTGAGATGACTGTGAGGTAGAACTGATGTCACAGAAGGTGCATCTCGGATCAGACAGTTAAGGAGTTCCTACTTAATCGAACGAAGGGAAGGGCTGAAGGCAAAGAAGAACACTAGCTGGGCCTCAAGAGTTGAGCCCACGAAAAGGGACCTGCACGCTGAAAGAGAGTGATGACGGGAGATTGTCAAGCTATCAAAGCTTTTTGAATATTATAAATGAGAATTTAGATATACCTAAAAGTAGATACAGTTTACAACTTGAAATATCCTCATACTCTAAAACCAAACGAAATCCACTGTCGTCAAGTCGATTCTGACTCATAGTGACCCTACAGGACAGAGAAGAACAGCCCCCTAGGGTTTCCAAGGCTCTAAATCTTTATGGAAGCAGACTGCCATGTCTCTCACCCAGGAGCAGCTGGTGGGTTTGAACCGCCGACCTTTTAGTTAGCAGCCAGCAGCCAAGCGCCTCAACTACTGTGCCACTAGGGTTCGTTGTCGTACTCTAGTAATGATTAATTGTGTACTTGAGCAAGCTGTGATTGCTGGACTCAAAGCAGCAAGGGTAAGAGAAAGGGATATACTGCTAGCAAAGTTAAGAAAAGGAGACCAAAAGCTAGGTCCTCAGGGAATGTTTTATAATAGGAGAGATCTTACGCTTTATCTCTGAAGGATGGAAGGAGGGAACTGAAGGCTTTTTAGTAGATGGGACAGGTAGCATATTTTAATTTGTTGTAGGGCTGCCCCCATAAATTCAGCTAGTCCAAAACGACACATGAACGTCCTCTGAGACTCCTGCATTCTGTCCCTTTGTTAAATGCCATTGTCATCCCACCTGCCTGTCAGGCTGGAAATCTGTCCCATTTTATTCCCCCGCCGCCCACGCACTTCTGCACCCGAGTGAGTGCTTTCCTGTGCCTCTCACTGCAGTGTCTTTGCAGCTGCTCCTCCCTGTGTTTTCACAGTCACTCTCCTGGCTCCCCCCTGGACGCATGCGGTCACGTGCGTGTTAGTTACCCAGCCTTCTGTCCTGTGTCTTTGCAGCTGCTCCTCCCTGTGTTTTCACAGTCACTCTCCTGGCTCCCCGCTGGACACATGCAGT